AGAATCTAAATATATGAAAGATTTGGGAATTTATTTCAATAAAGGTATCTAATAATTTTTATTGTTTACAGGATTTGAACATTATTATCAAAAGTTTCATTACTGAAAATTAAACTTTTGACATACCATAATGTCATACATAAAAAAAAATTACTCTTTGCCTTCCACTTCCATATCTAATAAAATTCCATTGATATTTTCATTAAATTATTTTAAATCTGGTATATCATACTTCAACTTTGATACAGATTTTTGATGACACAGCTTCATCTCTCATATATTTTTCTATTTGCTCAAAAATTAATTCATCGCTTCAATGTTGTTATTGTCATTAAGTCATTAAAGAAAAATACAATTATTATAGGAAAAAGATTGGCTAAAATTTAAGTGCTTTAATATATTTTAATTACTGTATATTTTTTAAATGTTTCAGATAGTCAATTAAACATTAATGTAATGATAATTGTATTAAGATGTTACCACAAAATTGGAATTCTCAATTTTTTTTCTATTCAAAATCATAATTTTATTGAGTGGTCCACTTAAAATGTTAAGCCATTATAGATGTGATATGATTAGTTTAGAAATAGTACGTTATATAGCCAAACTAATAATAGGAACACATATACACATAATATTTTGCAGTGCCTATATACATATACAAAAATTAAGAAAGCACCCATTATGTTTATTAATAGCAATAGAGTATAGTAAGTGGTTATTAGTTAATGTATAAAGGTTAATAACTTATTATTGTTATGAATTATTGATTTAATCAAAAAATATTTTATATATGTGATTGTTGAACACCAATATGGTGTTAAGATCTTAATTTTATTTATTTACATTTAGATTGATTAAGGAAAAAATAAGATAGTTGGGATTTGTAGATTTGCATAGGCAAATCATAATTCAGCAATATAATTATTATATTTCATTAAAAATCAATGTCTGTTATTGTTTCCACATGATTTCCTTTAATCTCTGTAATCTTATTAATCAACTTATCCATGTCATAAATCCTGCATGGCTTGATGTGCATGATCCGTAATGAATGAATTGCATGAACAAGTCTATTAAGTGTTTACTATTATTATTATTGTTTGTATGTCACTTTTTAATAACTAAAGGTGTATGAGAAGTTTTTAAACCTATATTTTCACTTATATTATGTTTATATTAACTTAAGTTTATATTGAAATATATTATTTTATCATCTCATTTTTTTTTGTTCATTTAATAAACCATTATGTGTATTATGGTCAATAAAAAAAATAAACAGATATTAAAGAAGAAAAAGTTCTTAAAGTGTTATTAGATATTATGCTATTATTTATTTTATTTTATGTATTTATCACTTGGACTTTTCTAAAAATAAACTATTATAGTGATAACAACTTCTAATAGTATTAAAGAATAATTATTACATTTCAAAATTAAATAATAACAGAATCTTTCAATCAACAATAATCCTTTGTTGTTGATCACTACAAATTTTAAGTATCTTAATTTCTTTGAAGGTTTTTTAAAATACATTTTCTATTAATTTTTTTTTTTTTTTTTTTTTTTTTTTTTATGAATTCCAATTAAACCTTCCAACATATTTATTAACGAAACAAAAATATATAACATTTGATTAAATTTCTTTGCAATAAGCAAATTTTTTGGCAGCTTCACAGCTTCCCATGACGTTCGGGATATAAATCAGATCAGCAGGTCTCTTGGCCAACGTCTACGTAATCGTCGTAGTGGGCTGTACGGGTTTCTTGTACGATGAAGAATTTCTGTCAGGGGATTCATGTTGTACGTCAGTCTTTGGTGAAAGTTATTGTATTTCTCTTTTGCAGTATCTAAAATTGTAGGTACGTTTAAGTCTATATAGAGAGTGGATCATTTGCGACATAAAACTATCCTTCGACTGAACTTTTTTAATGTTAGAAGTTTTAGCAGAACCCCACAGTTCTATGTCGTAAGTCCAAATAGGTTTAAGTAAAACTTTATACAGGGTCAGTTTGTTAGTTAATGATAATTTTGAACGTCTGTCAAGTAATCTGGATAAAAGACCGTATCGTCTGTTTAATTCTGTTCATTTTTGTCTGATGTGAGTCCTCCAAGTAAGTCTTTTGTCCAGGTAAAAACCTAAATACCTAATTACGTCTGATTCCAACATAATAAAAAAAAAAAAAATGATTTTCTCATATTTCCTTTTCAATTTTTTAGACAAAGTTTGTTCATTTTCAAGAATTACCTTTCTCACTTCTTTTCACTCATTCAAAAATACCCCGTTTTCTTAAAACAAACCCAAGATTTTCATCAAGATAGCTTTAATCTACTTCAGTTTTGTTGGTTTTATTCCAAGAAAATGAATTGTTTTTGAGAATCAGGTATAAGTGAGAGAAACAATTTTAGAAAATGGACAAACATTGTCCAAATATCGGATAGGAAAGGTGAGAAAATACAATTGTTTTATTGGAAGTTGAAAGGTTTAATTGGGATTCCTTAAAAAAAAAAAAAAAAAATCATTCGATTAACATTTTACAAATTTATTTTAATCGGGTAAGATTTGAAATGAGGTCCAATTAGCTTTGTTAGGATTCTTGAACAATTGTTTAAAAAAATATGTAAATATCTGTTTTTTAAAACTAAAGGTTGCCAAATATCATCATATCTTTGATTATTTTTTTTTTAGTCTTATCTCTTTTATTAAAATACAAAAACCACGGAAAATCTCCTTCCTTAAAATACAAAAATTTTTTTATTTACTTTATTTATTTTTATTATATTTGCGACAATTAAGGTAAATAAAAAAAACTACATTTTACTGTTAATGCAAAAAATTTATTGAAATAAAAATATTAATACATACCAAAGAAAGTGAATTTACCTTCCTAAAAAAGAAAGATCCTGAAAAAAATCTTATATTTTTACTTTTACTTAAATTTAATTAAATAAATACCAGTAATCCAGTCATTATAAACAAGAATTATTAAATGTTTTATTAGTAGGTTTTCAATTCTAAGTATAAAATTATTTAATATTCATGGACATTAACATGAATATTAAGTAATTTTGATGACTTATTTTTTTTCAGGATCTCTTTTTCTTTAGGAGATATGTATAGAAGCACTTTCTTGCCTTTTTTCAGTTCTAGGAAACCCATAGGGTCATTATTCTTGGAATCCTCTTGTTGTAACTTATATTTTTACTCCTCTTAGTTTATCATTCAGCTGGATGTTTTCTAGATTCCGATAGTAACTGAACTATATTCCCACAGGAAATGATCTGTATTTTCATATTAAGATTTCTTAACTGAACTTAAGTGGCCATTGAAAAACTCCATATTCTTTGGCAGCTTGTTCCTGGGAATACAGCTTTGGCAGCTTGTTCCTGGGAATACAGCTTTGGCTGCCTCTCTCTCTCCTTCGACCTGCTTAAATCATTTTATCAATGATAATTCCTAAGCATTGTGATGTTTCAAGATTTTCCCTCAACCTTTCCACATATTTTAAATAATCACTAAGCATCACATATCTAGAGTATTATGATAATTTCTTATTATCTATTACAGTCATTAAAACTGTTATTATATGTGTTCCTCATGTTCTTATTTAATGTATATATTTAACCAATTTATCATTATAATATTAAAATTAAAATTTAACAAGGGATTTTAATATATTTGTACGATTATCTCCAAACCGTTAAAATGTGGACTCAATCCTTATTTATCTTATTCTTCCACTATTTTTTGCCTTATTTTGTTATTGTTAATCTCTGCAGTTGCTTCTATTTTGAATCGACTTCATAAGATCAAATATTTATTTTTAAGTCTGTTATAGATTTATCAGCTTAATTAAGGTCAAAGCCATTTACACTTTTATTATTAGCCTATTTCTCCACCATATCAATACCGCCATGAGGGTTGCTATTATGTAGAACTTTATGATGACATGCTGTCATTAATTCCTAATCCTCCTTATGTTGGTTTACTTTAGGCAAACTCATTTTTTCATACTATGCATTTATTTACATTAAATCACTGAGGAGGCCCCATTTTATACAGTAATTCATTTACAATAATAAAAATCTTATCTCCAATTTTTCTAACTACCGTTAAATCTTAAATGCCACTGACAGTTTCATGAATTTAAGAAAGAAACTAATATAGAAAACTTAATAGAAATTCAGAAGAATTTTCCTATTTATAAGTTTGCATATTAAATATATTAACAAATGGTGCTTATTATACTATAAATAACATTAGAATAGATCACATAACAGAAAACATTACATATAATATGTATGAATCCTATTGGTAACTTTTGTCTTGGGATATTTCTAACCATGAATTAGTTTTTGTAATCTAACACCTCCTTTCATATCTTATCACTGAAAATTTTTCTGTAGCCTAAATAATGATTTTTTATTAAAATTACAGATTTTTTTTTGTAAAACAGACTTTTTATTTTCAATAAGTTTTAATATTAGATCACATAAATGGTAAGTCTCATATCAATTACGTTTATATCAAAATTTAATAATTATGGTTGCAAAATATTTTACATAATTCAAATATAAGGAAATTATATCATTACAATTAATTTTTTTGGAAAACTGTTTAAAATTGTTATATTTTTTTCTAAAATCATTTTTTCTGGTAGCAAGCAATAACTTAATGTCACTTATTTTAATTAAAAATTATATAGAATCTAATTGTGATTATATTAGTTGCTTCATATTATTGATTTAGTACATTGCAATTGATTTATAAAATTTAGTTATTATTTTAGTACTATGGATTATATTCGTGTTTTGATATATGTTTAGCAATAGAAATGCTAGTTTGACCATTTTTTTACTATGGTGTATTGATTATAGTGTTAATGGAATATTTGTAAATTATTTTTATTTTGAAACAAAATTTGGTTTGATAGATGTCTAACAAGTTATTAATTTAAGTATTTATTTTTCAAATAATTTGATAACAGCCTTTGATACAGGTTATGTTTCACTAAACTGAAACTTTTACTGCTTGCCATTGAAATAAAAGGCGAAGATGGGAGTGATAGCAAAATTTCCATCAACCCACGCGGAGCAAAGATATCAGCTAATACGCAGGGATTTTTTATAGCACAATCTGCTGATGAAGTTAAAAGGTATGGAACACTTTTATATATTTTTTTTATTTATTTTAGATATAGTTTTTCTATTAATTTTAGTGATTATAAGTTTTCACTGTGTTTTCAATGAAAATAAAATCTGGAAAAATAAAAATGACACTTATAAATGTATGATGCTGAATTGAATCAGAAGGTTTGATTCTTATTGCGGCCAACATACCTTATATGGTATGGGTTTGAACACAACTCACTTATTTTATAGTTCTGAAGAGATTTATAAGGTTTCCTGTCTTGACTATCTGATGTGTGTATAATGTATTCTTGTAGAAATCGGTTCAAGCCAGTTTTATAGAATTCATGTAAAAAAAGTCTGTTATTTTTTTTTTTTTTCAGGGCATGGTTCTATTGCAAGGCTTGCCATGATGATATTAAAGATGAAACATTGATAAAGAAATGCAAGTGCAAAAACTGTAAGTAGTCTTGACATCTTAAATTTCAAAAATATATATCAGTAATTTTTTCTTTCTCAGTTGTCAACAATATTTGGCCACCTTTTAAAAATATAAAATGGTATCGCATTGGGTAGCATTTAGAGTTCATTGATATTTGAAATTGCATTAATTCAGAAAGATTTGTTTGTAATAAAAATTCATTGTAAAAATATATTATACATTTATATTTACATGCTAAATTTAATTTTAAAAAAGTGGTTATTTGAAACAAACAGATCTTTTTTCTTTATACTAATGAATGTTGCATATCATTATAATAGTATCTTTCAATAATGAATGATGTAGTTCTTTTCAAAATACAGTGCACATTTTATTGCCTAATATATATTTTTTTTCTGTTTCAAGAAAACTATCTTTACAGTTCAATTGTAAAGTTTTTGTTTAATTAATTTAGTTTCACATAATTTAAGGATATGATTTTTCATTTAAATAAAAATTAATAGTTAATTTGACCAGCAACACTGACACATTTATTTGTTAAAAAATAGATAAACTTTGTAATGGCATAATTAAAATATATTTAATTACCATGGAGGATTATTATTATTGTCCTGATTTAAATTTATTATAATTTTTAAAACATTTATTTTGTATTATTATTAATTATGAATATAAACAAATTTGATTATTTTTCAAAATTTAATTATTTTTTAAATTTCTCTGATTTTAATTTTGGATACTAAAGAAGAGTTAGAATAAAATAATTTATGGACTTTATGATTAAACAAGAAAAAAAATGTAACGGCTTTATTGAGGAATTATTTAAGTAATAATTTTACATTTGCTTTTATATTCATGTAAATGTTTCATATTTCATTTTCATTAGCAGGTTTTTGAAAATATTATTCTATTCAAGACTTGCATAATGAATATATTGAGATTATTTTAAATTCCCTTTAAACATATTTTTTAATGGAGTAGCCAGCGGTTCTCAAACCTTTTATTCCATGGCACGCTTGATGGGCTAAACAAAATTTGTTCCATACTATCCTTAAAGCAAAATTATAATAGAGTCTTTACCCATTTTTGTGCAGTATAAATATTGGAATTAAATATTATTGGTTTGGAATTCCTGGGATACACTTTCAACCCCCTCAGTATGCCGCATCACTCACTTTGAGAACCCTTGGCTTATCCATTGATTAAATGATAAATTAAATTAATTTTTCTCCATAGTATGTCTGATTTTCTTTTTTTTTTTAACCGCCGGTCATTCTTCAACAATTTTTATTTATTTTTACAATCATGTTATTAATTAATTTAGTAATTATATATTACATTTTAAAATCAGATAATGTATTGGTGGTACTTGTGTAGTCTTTACAATACATGGTGGTTTTTATGAAGACTGTTAGTGTGAGTTTATTTATTATTCTATAAATTAAGTTAAAAAACTAACTGCTATTTTTCGGTTGAATAAAAAAAAAAAAAAATTTCTTAGTATTCCCTTAAAAATCTATTTGATTTACTCAATTAAATTATTTGAGATCTAATTTGTAATAATTTTGTGAAGTTTTAACTACATATTTGAGGTTTAAGCTGAAAAGCAGAAATTCATGTTGAAAAACTTGTTATTTTGTATAGTCTATTTGCAAGTAGCTCAAAAAACCATACCTGTTTTTACAAAAAATATATATATATATATTGTATGATATAAGTCCTAAAGTTGAACAAATCATCGTGATGCTATAAGAGAAAATACTAAACATGAGACTTTTGCGGTGTATATATATATTTTTTTTCATCATCAGCTATTATAAACCCACCAAGGATTTTAATTTACCAATCATATCATTATAGGTTTTCTGGCAATTCTACTTTTCTTGATTGAAAAAGACAAAAAGATGTATTAATGTTAGATACATATTGGCTAATGTTTTTAAACACTGATGAACACATCTTTCGACTGAAGAAGTAGTTGAATAAGTCAAGAACGTCTAGATATATAGAAAAGAATACAAGCTTTATTCTGGGATTTTTTTTTCTAGTTTCCTAAAGAATAAAAAAAAATAAAGTAAAAATAAATATGAAAAATCATTGGCTAAAAATTAAATTAATATATAGATAAGGTATAAATACATAAATAGAATTCTCACCTGTTCAGTGAGAATGGGGGTATTGAATTAGAAAGACTAGTGGGTATTGACAGTTATTGAAGAAGCCTTATGGCCTAAATGAAAAGTATATATTTTCAGAGCTAAGAAAGAATTATGTTAGGTACACCTCAATGCTTTAGATACAGCAGAGCGGTCTCTATCCTTTCATTGAATGATAGAAGGTCTTGTGCCATAGTGATATAGATAAATGCCGCAGACTATCTCTACTCTAAAATGCCCTCGGGCAGTAAAAGGATTGAATGGTATCATAGATACATGAATATATAATATTTATATGTATTTATTGTAATTAGCTTTAATAAAGACACTTAGAGGATAAGAAAATAAAAAGGCATTAGATAATGATGTACACGATTATTTTCTTGTTCATATTGCTGATTATAAAGTAAAAGAGAATAGAAAAGGTCTAGGAAACTCTCCTTACACCAGATTTGAGTAAAACTATTTATCAGTAACTTATGTTAATATAATTGAGTTTGGTCATAGTATTTTCTTTAAAAAGTACAGGTGAAAATACTTAAATGAGAAATAATGTTATTTCTAATATTCGTGGGGAAGAGGAAGTTTATTTTTCTTCAAAAGTTTCAAAAAGAAAATCAACACATTTAAAATGTTATTAACAAATCAAAGTAACTGCTAATGAATACTTATAACATTTTTTGAAGAGGGCACTCAACAATTTTATAATGGAAAACAGTTTCCCAAGGTTTTTATGAAAAGAGAAGTTAATGTCAAACTTCTGTTTAAATCAAATAAAAAATTCAATAGCCAATAACCTTTTCTTAAGGAAAATATAGATTTAATATTTTATGAAAAAATTGAAATGAATGGGTACATATACAGTTAAGATTTTATATATATATATATATGTATTTAACAAAATAAACAATTAAATATTTGTAACCGATTTAAAATTAAATGTTTATTAGTGATTGTTATTCTATTTTATTTTATTAATTGATGTAAAAGTCAATAATTAATCTAAAAGAGCTGGATATTTTTGGGAGATATTCCAATAAATACTGGTAAGTAGGAGAATGAAAATATTTGAAGATTAGCATGTTATTAACATGGTATAGTGAAAACAATCTGTATGCTATTATTATCCTTCTGACTTATATCAAAGAAGGACATTTCAAAAGTTTGGAGTGCTCTTAACTTTTGTTAATTTTTTTTCTTTGTTCAAAAAAAGTGACTTTTTCCTATTCCATTAAGAATTATATTAATTTATTATTATACTGAATATAGAGATATTGCTTTTATTATTGAGATATTGAACAAAAATATATCAAAAAAATACACAAAAAAAAATACTAACTTGCCAGACTAGAATGTTTTTGGACAGAATATTAGTGGCCTTTACTAGGAATGTAACATTAGTTTGATATATGATTTCTGGTTCTACTGAATCCTAAAATGGATACTCTGATTATTCAGGTGATAAATCAGACATTTGGAACATTATGGCCATTACACTGAGTCCCAAGAAGTCCAATGCCAGTGCCTGTTTCCTAAGTCCTTCTTGTTGGGCTGTTGTTTAATGATTTACCACAGTAAAGTACCAAAAAATTACAGAAATTGAATTGGTTGTCTTTATTTGTAGGTGATCTTATAGCATAAAATAAATGAATAGCCAAAACATTTTAATTTTAACTAGTAAACTAAAATCTATATCTGAAACATCCTTAAAAATAACCTTTTGTTTTAAAAACCAAATGTCCTTAAATGATCTATTTATCTTAATACTACCAAAATACCCTCTTTTCATGAATTGGCCCTATAAAGTGATGGAAAAAAGTATTTGCACATCATGTTTTTATGAATAAATGAGTTCAAGGAACCAAAAAACTTCGCTTTCCTCTGCAAAAATGAAAAGTACATTTGTTAAAAACTGAGAAAAACCTTTTGGAAAAAAATGACAACACTCCATAATGGAACAAAAAAATTAAAACAATAAAAGTGCTTGGAAAAAAGTATTTGCACATTATGACTCACAAGCTCTGTTTACTTTGGCATTAATCCTCTTGTGTCCATAGGTTTGTTTACTAATTTATCTCTAATCGTTTATTACCAGTACTCTCTAGTCTTTCAATCAGTTCCATAGGTTTGTTTACTAATTTATCTCTAATCGTTTATTACCAGTATTCTCTAGTCTTTCAATCAGTTCCGTTTAGTCAATAGACAATTATCATGCCAAAGACAAGTGAATTGTGTGCCGCAACTCACGAAACATTTTTTTTACTGAGGAGTCAGCAAAAATCATATCGCCAAATTGCCGATTTCTTAGGGTTGAATTTTTCTACAGTGAGATACGTCATAAAAAGGTATGAAGAACGGTGTTCAACTGAAAACAGTGAGCGTAAAGGACGTCCAAAAAAGTTAACTCTCAGGCTGAAGAGGAAAATCAGAAAAGAAGCTCTTGAAAATCCTCTGATAAGTTCTCGGGAGCTGGCTACCATCGTCCAATCAATGTCTGGAGTTCAGATTACTAGCAGAACAATTAGATATGTCCTGAATTCGGAAGGGCTCCATGGTAGAGTTCCAAGAAAGTACCATACATCAGTGAAATGAATCGCAAAAAGCGCCTTGGTTTTGCTAGGGAGTACATACAGAAACCCTTAAGCTTTTGGGAGAATGTCATGTTTTCTGGCGAAAGCAAATTTAATTTGTTTGGTTCAGATGGTCGAAGGACGATATGGCGTCATCCTAATGAAGCCCTAAAGAAGCAAAATGTTTTAACAGCTGTAAAGCATGGTGGAAGACATGTTATGGTTTGGGGGTGTGTTTCCTACCATGGCGTGGGAAATCTTGTGAGCATCGAAGGCATTTTAAATGCGGAAG